TGGCACTTGTGCCATTAACGTAACGCTCTTTCAAATTTTCTAGGTTTCGCAGGTTTTCAAAAAATGATCGTGGAGTCGGGCCCAAAAGTTTCCAACTATGTTTAGACCTCACATAACTTAGAAAAATACTGAAAAAATTCAAATAAAAAAAATTTCAGCGAGGGCATGAAAATATCGCAGTTCATCTGAAATGACCCATATATAGTGGATATTCAGGGATATGGACAAAACACTCTGATGCGGACTGCTGCGGCAAGCCACCGTGGCGGAGCGACGATTTGCGTCCGTTAACTGGTTGTAACAATGCATTAGCTTCCCCTCCTCGTTTCCCCTCGATCCTCGACCCCACCACCGGTCTCTCCCGGACGTACAGCAAACATTGAGCCACGCCCATCCGCTATCGTTCCAGACCGCCTATGTTACACCCTGCAGCCGCCGGCCCCACTCTTTATCCATATCGATCCAGAATATCGTGTGTAAAGTACGAGCCGAGAAGAGGGGGTATGACTACTCCCCTCCCCTTAGCAACGCTCCGAAATGTGTAGGTGCAACCGAGCGATATAAAAATACTACCGCTTTCCGGGGCTGAGCCAGTGAGCTTGAGCTACTGTGGTTCTTTCCTGGCGTTTTTTTTTTTTTTTTTCTCTCTCGAACTTCTGTTGGTCTTTTTTGGCAAGCTACAGTGTGGACGTCATTTTTGTACTGTTGTCCAGAGAGAGAGAGAGAGAGAGAGAGACAGAGAGAGATACAATAAGTAAGAGGCGAAAAAGGAAAGGAGAGTTCGTGAAGTGGCAAGTGCAGTCGCAGAAGATTTTTGTGTTCAAGTGTGCAGTAGCGAGACCATCGGCAACTTTATACACTTGTGTACAGAGGGAGAATTCAAATGCGCTGAAGTATGGTGCGCTTCATGATGGTTAGCCCTTTTATTTTTTGTTCTTTCCTCGTTGCCCATTGTTTTCGTCCATGTTTTGACGTTTTCTATTATTTATTTCACACCTGTGGTGGTTTCGATAAGTGGCGTTTGATGTGTATGCTTGTACGAGGCGTAAGTGTAATTGGTTTCAAGAGGGGATGTGATCACGAGCTGAATGACTTTACTAGCATGATAATACATTGCTTTTAAGCTGATTCAAACGAGTAATTTTAGGGTGTGAGTGGGGTTCGATATTAATCTTGATTTTCACTTCTTTTGTCCAACCAGGCGGTATAAGACTTGACCAACTACTTCATACCTAAAACTGTTGTCTAAACAATATTTATTTATGGTTTATTTTAATCTATAGCTATACGGTCAGAATCATTTGACGGATAACTTAAGAAAACGGCAAATACAAAATAATAATATAATTTTGATTGTTAATTTGGCAAAACCAACGTTTTATTGACAAAATCAATATAAAATCAAGACCCAGATGTCTTGTCTTAATCTTGTAAGGCCCTACTTAGAAGTCCTGTTTTTTTTTTTTTTTTTTTTTTTCTTTACCCAACAACCAAAGAAATATTCAAACAAACATGCATGTCAAAAGCATTGACCGTACCAACTAAACTGTCGCACCTCATAATATGACATAATCCTACCTAATACCTGTCTTGCTTACATAATTCAACAATGGGGGTGTCCCTCGTTATCCCCGATTTTCCGTCATCTTCCACCCGACAACTAAAATCAATCCATCCAAGCGTCTCATTGATCTTCCGTTCGTAAACCGTGCAGGGGAGGAGCTAATCCTTACTAAAAAGCCATATAAAATACCCACCGAAATATAGTCAAAAGCGTAACAAGCCGCTAATCCTGGAGAATAGAGCGTGACTGGAGCAACACATGCTCAGCACGACCGGAGAAAATCACTTTCGGAATTCACAGCAGCCGTTTTCACGTAATCATACCTAGTTACGTGAGTATAAGGCTTCTTTGTGGTCACGTCGAGTCTTGGCTATGCCGTCGGTTCTTGCTTCCTTTGTACAATATCCAAGAATAATCATTAAAGAAACGCAGCACTATACTTGTACGGTATTCGCGTGTAAATTGTAAATTATCAAGTTCCCGCGTTAAAATAATTGATTTGTTCCGCTTAACGCTGTGCAGTTGCAAAATCACATCACTCGTGAGAAACACAGAGGCGCATATAATGAGGGGTATACGCAGCAGTAGTGGTGTACGGTTGTATACTCCCCTCCATCTCGGCGTATTCCCCGATGATTAGGGCCGGCTTTCGGCCCTCGGGACAATCGAAAGTTACGATCTGGGCGGGGCTCGGCTCTTTGCTCGGAGTCAACGTCTGTTCTGATCACTCCGAGCACGAGTTGAACGGAGTCTCTTCTTCTTCCGTCCCAAACTGTCCGATCGTGGTTGGAATACGATAGTAGTACTTGTACATTTAAGAACTGTAATTTTGCTGGAAAAAAAAAAATAATAAAAAAGACCTCGATCGACGTTACTTTGATTATTTATAGTAGATGTCATGATTACATCATTCTCAAATAGGTATCGCTAAGCGCTTCCGCTATATTTCTCACACGTTATAGGCAACAATGCCGGGAAGAATAACATTCGAACACCCCACCGTGCGTAGGTGGCTAGTCTGTCTCTTTATCGTCTGACCTATTTTGATTAACAAATAAGGAAACAAATTTTACCTTATGTAGGTGTTTTGTATTTAACAAAAAAAAATCAAAAAATGCTGGTATCGATCGTTATCGGTATTGAATCAGCCGATAACATTCGAAAAAAAAGCGAGGGGCAGCAGATTTTCAGCTGTTGTTCGAAAGTGCGAAAAAAGAGCGACTTGAATCCTAATTAAATATTTTATAATTAAATAATAAAAAAAATTTATCAAAAAAATGATACAAGGAATTATCCAGGTAATCTGAGAAGGAGAGAAGTTGTGACGCGATAGGAAATGCGATTTTATGTAATGAATGGATGCTATCATGTGATGGGCACCAGCTGCTTGTACCCGTTAAAACTGCAAAAATGGCGCACGGCTCGATTAAAATTCATCGGAGATTATTACGGAATGAAATTAGAATACATGCTCGCTGCGGTGTAGACTAGACGAAGGCAGTATAGCAACAGCATCGAGAAGAGAGAGAGGGTGGCCCCAACTGTACAATCATCGTGTTTTTCTGCACTCGTACGCGCGTAGGCGTCCAGTTTAAATCACGGGGGAACAGGAAGAGATTAAATTACGCGTGAGCATATGCCACTTGAACGCCCACTCGTGCCCTCCTCTTGCGCACATTGTCAATTGAACCATCGCTGTGCTCCTCGATCGCAGGCAAAAAGTAAGTTTTGCCAAATTGACAACTTATCACTTCAATCGACTGTTAAATCATTACTTGACAAATTAGAATTAAAAAAAAAAAAAAAAAAATTCATGAAAAAAAGTGCCAAAAGCTTATAACCCAGGTATAGTCATCCGGTTGGGCCGTCGCGTGTATCTTCCACATCAAACGTATCCAGGCGTGCCGTGCTCATAAGTATACCTATATGCATGACGAGTCTGGTGTATCTTGGAGTGCAATCACCGAGCCCAGAATAATAAAGTCGTGGCGCGACGCGCGTGGCAGGCCATTTCTCAAGCTGAAATCAAGGGGACCTTCCCCCCCTCGCACCGCAAAAGGTCGTCTCGGAAAGCAGCCGTGGCTTTTTTTCCTTTCGTTTCTGTTTGTATCAGCGCAGGAAATAAAGAAAAGACCAGTCCCATTACTATCTCTCTCTCTTGGAGAAAGAACACGCGGCCGCCCATTCACTGCTCTCTCCCAGCGTTAGCCATCCAATTCCAGCCGTCATTCCAAGTTCAAATATAACGCCATTCCACGGAGCAAACATTTTCCTCCTTCGCTCTCGCTTTCTTTTTTTTCTCCCACTCGAGTCGCCGCAGTGCAAACGTTACGATTTGTATGTACATGTTGGTACACCGCTGCACCCCCCCTGCGGGAGGAAAAGGGCACGTAGACGGCGCGATACGGTGCTGACCATTTTGCATCTCATTCGGAGAGACACGAGCAGAGGAGGAAACGAGACCCTTTTGACGATGCATACCATGTGTTACACATAGACTTATAGTAATGCACGCCAGAGATGGAAAATTACTGGAGGAGATGCCAAACTATATTAAAACTAAAAAAACAATCCCTGTACTTTTTACAAGCTGTAAGTATAGGACATTTAAATGAAAGCAATCGAGTGGAAAGAAAAAGGGGCCCGACTTTTACTTTCTCCAGGCCGACTGACTGACATGGCTACAGCTCGTGCTAAAGATGAACAAAAAAAAAACAAAATTGACACACGCACATGCGAATGTACCTATCTTATGGATCGGCCCCTATGATTTTGAGATTATTTTTTTCCCCGTCAACGTGAGAGCCAATTGAGCGAACGTAATAACCAGGACCGCATGTGTTGCCGGCACTTGTGGAACATGTGGGTTCCGCTCTTGACGCTAAATGTTCGTTTTCGTCCGATGTGCCCACTGTTCGTTCCATTTTCTCCACAATACGTTACACCACTGACTCCCTTGACTCTCTTCCTCGTATTATCTAAGGCTTTCACTGATACGATCATTCGAACAAACGAAACGTAATAAATTTTGCACCAGTACCAACGAGCATGACGAGATTCAGCTATGAATTTTTATGTGTCATTATGAAAAGTTTTATATACAAGCAGCTGTATAGGTGTACGTAAATGCTGTGAAAAAAAGCCTCTCAGAGGGCTGCGAGTCACATTAGCCATGCAAATGTTATTCTGCGGGTTTCTTTTTTTTTTTTTTTTTTTTTTTTTTCCAGCACATACGAGGGTCGGGAATTTTCTGCTTCCTACCCCTCGTGCCCTCTTTATTCCGTACTTTCAACAAAGTACAGCGCATACAGCGACGGACCATTTATTTTCATGTACATGCACATTAGTCGATGAATAAGTTGTGTATATGTTTATTTGCACGAAATAGTTTGTGAAAAAAGATGTAATTAAAATATCTGACATTTATTATTTGCAGAGTGACACTATGCAACCGTTCTCGTCGAGCCAGACGATGGCGACGGAGACCCCGACGAGCCTGCCGCCCGACCGAGGGGTCACCTCCCCGCCAGCGAGTCGCAACCTGAACTTCTCCATCGCGAAAATCATGGAGCCGGACAAGCGCCTGAGCGAGTCGAGCCAACCAACGGCGGCGCAACAGACGAGCTCGACGACCTCCTCGGCCGCCTCCTCGCCGACGAGCGCCGCCACAGCTACGATGCTCGGCCAACAGCAGCAAACGAGCCCGAGCCACCTCTCCCTCAGCAACTACTCGGCCAACTTTGAGTCCGCCTTCAAGAAGTACGTGCCCACCCGGCACCACCAGAACTTCATCCTCCAGGACTACTACCCGTTCCTCTACTACCAGAACCTCCTACAGAGGTCCCTACCGGGTGGAGTCCCGGCAGCGGGGGTGCCCACCGCCACCCCAGCCGTGGCCACCCACCAGAGCGACAGCCGGTCGCCCCCGCCTCGGGAACACTCAAAGTCACCCGTGGGCTGTCCAGGGGAGGAGGAGCGCAGGCCCAGTCGGGAGAAGAGCGGCAAGAGCTCGCCCGAGAGGAGAGCCGAGAGCAACTCGAAGCAGAACAAGACCTTCACGTGCTTGGTTTGCAAAAAGGTGTTCAACGCCCATTACAACCTGACGCGGCACATGCCCGTCCACACGGGGGCCCGGCCCTTCAAGTGCAAGACCTGCGGCAAGGGGTTCCGGCAGGCGAGCACCCTGTGCAGGCACAAGATCATCCACACCCAGGAGAAGCCCCACCAGTGCAAGACCTGCGGCAAGGCCTTCAACCGGAGCTCGACCCTGAACACCCACACGCGCATCCACGCCAACTACAAGCCATTCATATGCGAGACCTGCGGCAAGGGCTTCCACCAGAAGGGCAACTACAAGAACCACAAGCTCACCCACAGCGGCGAGAAGGCATTCAAGTGCACCCTGTGCACCAAGGCCTTCCATCAGATCTACAACCTCACCTTCCACATGCACACCCACAACGACAAGAAGCCCTTCAGCTGCAAGGTCTGCGGCAAGGGCTTTTGCCGCAACTTTGACCTCAAGAAGCACATGCGCAAGCTCCACGACGCGGGCTCCCCGCTCCTTGGCTCGGGAAACCCCGGCGGGCCGAGCCCGGGTGGGCCCGTCGTGGTACACCAGCCTGGTCACCACCACCACCACCACCACCCTGCACCGGCTGATTTCGCGTCGTTGGTGCACCACGGGCCCGGGGGGGCGGGTCACCGGTTCGATGGGCCCTTCCTGCTGCCACCCCCCGGCTCGAGCGCCTTCCTCGCCAAGTCGATGTGACAGGAGAGCCCGCGGTTCGGTCGCGCTGGTGGACACAGTCCGCTGATGATCGTCCCGTCGCCCTGCAGCTACCCCGTCGATCTCGACTCGCTGATGCACACGTCCAAGTGAACCGCCCACCAAAGGACGATCGGATACCCCGACAAATTTTATAGCTATTACTACACGACAAGCCCACTGTGTTATTATTACCGCTCAAGATACACTAATGTACATACGGTTGTAAATAAGCGTCCGTGCATGGGATCACTGTCACCGATTTCAGAGAAAAAGAGATATTCGATTGTATATGTATATTACATAATATGTATTAGTAGGGGTGGATAAGATTATATATTGTACAAAATATTATTGAGAGTATAATTATAATGGTTGATGGTTAAACGCTGCGGTGTGTGCTCGAGATAAGGTCAAATATATATGTGTATATGATACCCGTACGAGTCGGCATGTTGCGCGTCGAGTGTTGTAATAAAGAATAAGAAAAAAATCAAAGAACCATCGATTTGTTGTAAATAGATCGGAGAGGAGAAAAAAAAAAAAAAAAAACACCAAGCTTGTTGTTTTTATTGCTAATGCCAAAGCGTATTCCAATTTGTCTTATTTGATGCGTTGTAAGACACGTCGAAGAGGCTCATGAAAAAAATAGCTCGATTACGATAATGGTTGTATTCGTAAGCGAGAAAAATATTGTATAAATTCGGTGTGATAGTAGTTTTTAAGGAAGAATTTCGCAGCTAGCGGATGTATAGGGCGAAAATCTTGGCTGTTTGCGAAAAAAAAGAATCATGTGTATAAATATGCCAGAGACAGCAGGTACGGTTGATTGAAAAATTGAAAAAAAAAACTATTGTGATCCCATTGATGTACCATTACATTACATTTGATTTCATCAAGTCACGTTTTCAAAGAGCCTTTGAAATATCTGCCATTTTTGTGGGAATAACTTATTTGTCTTTGCTAAATGTACCGATAACAATGTGTGTGTAGGTGCGAATACGGAAACGAGCCCTTATCAGGATCCATCTCTTTCTATAAGATTATGTAATACTATACGTAGCGAAGGATCCGATTTTTTGCTGATCGTGAGATCGGTTAGCAAGACACGTTTTGATTGATGCAAAAATAATGAACAGGTATTTATCTCCCAAAAACTATCAATCATTTTTTTACCCCCAAAAAAAATTAAATGAAGAGCAAAAAATCGATTCTCTTTCAAAATCTCGGTTAGCCGAAAATAGGGTCCTTCGCATGTACGAAACAAAACGATACTCTAACAATAGCGTGTCATATATAGATAATCGATCTACGTAGAGTAGATGCCAGAGAAGAAAGATTAACGCGTATACGTACACCTATATGTGTCTCCTACTGTAAATAAATAAGTCAATCTAACGCAATAAACTCTCAAACATAAAATCAACCCAACTGTATTTTCCATTGAACTTTTATTATTCATTCCCCACCGACTATCGATCAAATAATCCCAAAATCCCCTAGAGTTATTAATCCTCGTCATCATCCCCTTGTACAAAAAATCCATCACTATCTAACGAGAGCAACCTCATCGAGTCTCGACAAAAAGAAAAGAAAGACAGATCCAATTTTTAACAACCTCAGCACGTCCTCAAGCCTCGAGCACCTCGTGTGGTATCTTGTCTCGAGATTCGATCTCTCGCCTATGATGTATATACCTGCCTCGATGACGCAAAAAAATCTCTTCCTCTTTTAACTCTTTTTCTCCCCCCCCCTCTTTTCCAAGAGGAAAACTCGCCAACCACGTCAGCCGGAGAGACAACTCGGTCGCGAGCATGGATCAACGGATATATGGCTCCGTCGTCAATGACACGCCGGGCGAGAGGTCGAGAGAGTGATTATCTCCCCGAGAGATGGATAGTCCCAACCCGTACTCTGCCCCGCGATATACACTCGACAGCATCCAGTGGAGGGAAGGACGTGACTACGGCTCCGATCGCCGTGCCCTGATACGTATACCCTTGATGTGCGCACTCGCTTCATATCCATTAGAGCCAACGATGCTGATACGCCTACACTGCGTAGGAGGAGGTGGAATGCGTGCGTATGCGTTTCGCTTACGTGGATCGAACGTTTTCAGTTCCTGCGCTGATAACGACACGCCGCTCTGGTGCTGATTGCGTGGATCCACGTCCGTGACCTCATCGACTGCTAATGGTGGAGATGCCTATCGCTGAGCCCGGCGTATGGGCCTTTGTACGTGTCGAGGTGGAACGTCGGGATTGAATTGCAGTGCACGGGATTCATTGTTTTTTTTATATAAAAACTGAAAACACATGTATAAGCCCTTGGTAGTTCAGCCACCTTGGCACTGCAAAACGTTTTTGCTATTAACAAATAAAACGAATGCATGAATAACAATAACAATACCAAATCAAATGAATAAATAAAAATATACGAAATGAAATAATAACGATTAAGTTAGTAATAAATGAATAAATCAACTGTTCAAGCGATAACAACTATAAAAATGTCAAGGCCAGCGAAGCAATCAAAGCAATAGAGGACATTAATGATACAGTCGCTGATAAGGTACACATTACATGATCATCTGATTTGGACAAAGAACGACGTGAAAAGTGTGGACTATGTTCTACTTTGAGATTGTTGAACGTAGAAAAAGAGAGCTACGAAGTTATTTGTATTAAAAATATTCTTTTGGCATCGTTGCATACAAGAGATACAACAATCTTATCTCCCGCGGACAGGTATAGTTTTCGGGAGCAGTGAAATTATAGTAAAACTAAAGTATACTTGTGTGAAATAGCATTAGCTAATGATAGCATTTCACAAACTACAGATAATGGCTCACAAGTTCGCCTTGCTAACTCTCTTTTTTAATGCATGCCCAACCAACCCTCGATTAGGTGGGGTATGCATAACTTCCGAGCGGGAGCCCCAAAAGAAATTCCACGCGCTTTTCCGCACGTACAGCGCGCACATCTCCTTTCTTCCATTATACACGGTCCCTCTCTCTATTAGCCGCACACAAGGGTACATTAGGTATATGTATATACATGCACTCCGAGGAAAAAAATTTCGTGAACCGGAATCGCGCTAGAGCGACCACAACGCCGACGAGCCATTGATGCTTCCTCTCCCTCGGAGATTTTCATACGCTCCGTCGAGTGCGCGCGTCCCGCTCTTCTTCCGTTCGCTCTAGCGTTTGCTCATATATACATATATACGCCACAGGGGAAAGCGAAGTTTTCGGATGCGAGTACGGGCAGAAAGGGAGGGACGCCCCGTGGTGCCCCAGGTGTTGATAATCCGGGGTTAATTGTCCCACCTCTGCGGGATAATTCCCATTAAACGTCGCCGATCGCGTGGGTACGCACGGGGGTGTTTTCACCACTGGACTTTACACTTCGCGCTCGATGTTTTACCGAGGGGGTGCAACGAAACTTTTTTTTTTTTTTACTTCCAAATGATTGTACAACGAAATCGTCAAAACCCACCTCGTTCGCGATCGACTGCGCCCGAAAGCCCCGGCAATAAGCTATACTTTCCTCCCAGGGGTTGGGTGTGAACATGCCACGGATAATAATACCCAATGCCATCGAAATAACTCGCTACTGACGACGGTGTCGGCAACAAAACCAGCCATACGCGCCCCCTCCCCCCCCCCGTGCTTCAATATCATCACTGCCCGTAACCCCCTCCGTTGCCGCGATCCACATCCACCTACTCCTGTGAGTGTGCGTAATTGGCTAAAACCCCGTGAGTAACGAGCGAGCCGCGAATCATCCCCCCATTGAAACTTGCGCCTCGACACCTCCCATCTCTCTTCATTAATGGCTCGGCTCTTGCCTTTATGGTTGTATAGGTATACGCGCGACACCTACGTACATTATTGCCCATAGGTGTAAAGCTCTCCTCCTCTGCTTCTCCATTATTTGTGAACGCGTAATTTCGGACGGCTTATGCGCACGCTGTTAAAACGCGATACTCGCTTTGTTTGGTTGCTGCTGGGGGGGCTTGATTTTGAAGCTTATGATTTCGGGGGGGGGGATGTGTCGTTTCGTGATATACGCGGTGTGTTTGCACCTGTGCGATTGTCCTTCGCCGAAGGGACACGTGTTTTATTCGCTCGAGTGGGCGAGAAACTTTGCTCGTTCATTCAGTCGAAAAAGTGTATGTGAATTAATTTTTTATGGTTTATCGTGTGTGTTTCAATAATCAACCCCTTCAGGGATTCGACATCGTTTTATGAGTTCTCAAAAAAACTTTTCCCTGCATTTTTTTTTGGCGTTTACGTGTCAATTTAAATTGATCAAGACACTTTTTTACTCAAAATTTTGTACTTGTTTGCTAATGTAAACCATATAATAATGTTATCGTTGATTCAGTTGGTAGCAAAATTTTGTACGGCCGATGACAGATTGTTCGAGACATGCTGTTTCTAGATATGTGTACACAGCCTACGAATATTGACGAAAGATGGGTGTTAACTATATTGATGACGTATTATTTACACACATAATATTTAGTCGCACAAATTTTTGTTCTCAAAAATGTAGCCCTTGAAATACGTAACTCAGGAATTAGTTTTTCCAAAAAAAATTAGTAAAATTGATCGAATGATGATTTTTGTATAGACATTTTTTTAATCCAAGTATTTTCGGAATCTATCTGTAATAGCACACATTTCTTGAAAGTAATAAAGTTTTGCATTTGCATAATTGGATAAAATTATGAAAGAATGTAAATGACTGTGGAAACAAGTCTCGAAACACGAATAGAGTGTACATGTTGCAAATTAAATGTCAAACCCTACGGGTATAACAACGAAATCATCCCTCAACTGGACCGAAAGAAGGATAATAGGGGGCCTTAAGAAAATTTCTCCAATAAACGAAAAATAATCCGAGATTTTCATCCACGCATCACTCGATGAGCTCCAGCAAACGACTTTCACGAGTCCACCAACAGTGGGACGTTGGCAGGGAACGCAGAGGTGAGAAAATAAAAAAAAGAAATCAGCGAACGCCTGACCGATCCTTTGTCGTCGCGTCGCAGCCACCCCCTCGTAAGTATCTCAGTTTCGAGACGACTGACTCGAGGGGGACCCCGTGCGCTACACGTTGTATAATATCGCGTTGGAATCCTCGGAGGCGTTGAACCGCGGATAATAGGGATAGGAACTGCTGCTTCCAACAATGAGCGGAGGCGAGAATAAGAGAGACTACTGTGCGCCATTGGCCGGGCTCCCTGTCTCCTTTTCTCGTGGTCCCGACGCTTCACACCTGATGCCTTTCTTTTTCACCCCCTCCCGCTTGATTGGCAGTTCGTTCAACGATGGGAGAGTTTTTTAGTTGGAGGGGAAATTTTGCAAAAATTAAAATGAAAAAAATCTGATGATGCAATTACTGCAAACAAGTGGAGGGGCGATATGAAAGGGAGCA